GTCCACTCCTTCCTTCCTTTCCTCCTTCCCTCCCTCCTTCCCTTTCCTTCCTTCCCTCCCTCCTTCTCTTTCCTTCCTTCCCTCCCTCCCTCCTTCCTTTCTTCCTTCCTTGTTTCCTCTTTGCTTTGTTTTTTTGATACAGGGTTTCTCTTTGTAGCCTTGGCTGTCCTGAAAATAGCTCTGTAGACCAGGCTGGCCTTGAACTCACAGAGATCTGCCTGCCTCTGCCTCCCAAGTGTGCCACCACCACCCGGCTTCCACTATTTTTATAGTCCAGGCTAGCCTTGAACTTGGGATCCTGAGTGCTGGGATGACAGGCTTGGGTCATCTTGTCTGGCTTGAGGCCCCGCGCTTTATTAGCAGAGTGGTAAAGTCACACAGCAAAAGGTCATGGAATGAGACGAGAAACTAACGAAAAACTCTTTTCTTCTCCTACAAGTGGGTTAAGGTTTTCTGTGTGGCTACTCAAATATTTCCTCTCTTTTTAAATCAACAGCTTTAATGAACAAAATTTACATAATTCCTGACTGTTGTTTTTTATGTACAACACAATAAACTTTACTGAATTTAAATAGCGTGGAATCATTTTGCTAAAATTTACTACGAGAAAATTTTCATCCCCCTGAAGGTCCTCATGCCCTCTGTGGTCAGTCTTTAGCCCCACCCCCGTCCCAGATAACTGTGGATCTGCTTTCTGTCACTCTAGGTTTGCCTTTTCCGGACATTTCATACAAATGAAAAAATACAGTATGCAGTCCTTAGCATCTGGGTTCTTTCACAGGTAGGACACCACTCATTTATATTACTGGAGAAAGTTCAAGCATGTGACAACTCCAGCTAACAACGAGCCAAGGGCAGAACATCAGGTCAAGCCCGATAATTGTAGAAACCAAGACACCAGAGTGTTGTAAAAGGAGCTGCGGGCGGGCCGCTTCCTGCCACCTGGCTCCCGGCTAGTTTACACCCGAAATAATTACACAGAAACTGTATCCATTTAAACATTGCCTGGCGCATTAGTTCTAGCCTCTTACTGGCTAACTCTCACATATTGATTCAACCCATTTCTAATAATCTGTATAGCCACTTGACTGTAGCTTACCGTGAGTCTAAACAGCTTCCATCTCTGAGAGAAGAGCCACGGCGGGCCTCACTTCCCTTCTTCCCAGCATTCTGTTCTGTCTACTCCACCTATCTAAATTATGCCCTATCAAAAAGCCAAGGCAGTTTTATTTTTGACCAATGAAAACAACACATAGAAAAAAGACCCTCCCATGCCACCAGAGCAAGCTGGGTGAGAATCAGCTCACTGGGATTGCTAACACGTGTTGAAAAGGTGCTTCTGTCTACTAAACGTGAACGAGATGGGACAACTGGAGTTTTGATTTCAGATAAAGTGAGCTCAAAATCCACTATCATTTGTATTCCCTTGAGCGTTATGCATTCTGGTATTTTTTTATCCTGGTATTTTTGATCAGTAATTCTGCATATTTATGAACTGGAATGTTCCACTGAGTCTCAACTTCTCATTTCCCCTCCATGAGTAGATACAGCTTTTGAAATTTGTATACAGTGTACTGCACATGAGAAATGCTTCTTTGTATGGTATGGATACACAGTTAATTACCTTTATTTTTGTCATTCCTGAGGTTGCCGTGAATACTGAATTATCAAACACTGTCCCAGAGGGAATACAAATTAAGTCCCCGTCACATGCTGAAGCTGGTGGTCTTGTTACTGTTGTTTAAAGATTTCCTAATTAAGGTGAGCTGGGTGAACACCGAGAACAGCACTTTTGAGGCACTGTCCAAAATGACGGTTTACATCCCCACGACCCCTGTCCTCAGAGTACATCTCTCCACATCCTCACCAAGCTTTATCACTGAGTTTCTGTTGTGAAATATTATTTTTAGATGTGTTACATTTGTTTATGTTGTGGAACATTTGTTTTAATGATGCAAAAATGTGCTGCACTCTTTTATGTTGCATTTTTTTAACTCTGTGTTTGGGCAGTAAAAACACCCTAGTCCAAGTATCCTGCAGGCAGCCACTCCCTAAGTCAAACCTATTTCAAAAGAAGGAGCAGAAGAATGCTTGAATTCTTTGACCTTCAGTCAGGGTGAAGTGGTTCTACCTCTGGCCCATCCTAGAGTCTAAATCACCAAGTAATCACAGCCTAGGTCAGGGTGTGTAGCCACACTTGTTTTTAACAACTTTGAAAGGGCAAAAATAAGTCCAAACTTTCTGACCTTCAGACAAGGTGGAATAGGCTCACACTTTTGGGCCTGCGCACATTTGGAGTTTGTTTCCATGTTATGTTGCCTAATCATGTTGCCGTGCTTCATGCTCTGAAGGTTCCAGAACTCTGGAGAGGCGGCCAAAGGAGTTGACGCTAAAATATTTTCTAAAATATTAAGAGCTGGTCCATATATTCTTGTTCGATTCTGTTGTTTCTATAATCCACCCTTCTACGAAACAGTGGCTGTGTGGCTGGTGCGTTCTGGGGCTGTTAACTAGCACAGCACAGAGGTGCTGAGAAGCGAATTGCTCTCTTGGAAAAGAAGTGATTCGGCTCATATAAGGGTGTGCCCTGAAGAAAGGAAGGAAAGTGGGCCAAGTTTCACTGATACAAATTTCAGCTTGAAGATATTAATGTTGACTTTGTCACACTCATGTAAGGACTGGTTGCTATTTCCTTCGTACTTCAATGTGAATGTGAAGACAGACTTTAAAAATACCCTAAGAAAGAGTTCCTATCATCCTTGGACTCATTTGAATCTGCAGACTGATTGAAATTCGTGTTTCAGATCGGTGGGAATCCATCTCCACTCTCTAGGCCTGATGCAAGATGCCAGCCATGCTTGGCTTTTATCTGTGAAAGGAAGACCATTTTAGAATGCGGACTTCAATGCCTAAATGAGATGATAGGCAATTGCTCATACGCAGAAGCCAAACCAAAAAGCTCGCTTACTTGAAGTTCACTATGTGGGATAACATGAAAAAAAATGTAGATTCACTTCTCAAGGTGACCACGCCTGTGCCTTCTTTACAACTAGCTACTGCTCGTGGCACCAAAGACTCTGAGGGCTAGTTCTGAAAGACTATTGTTGTTTTTTAAATAAAGCTCCATCTTGCTGGTTTTCACCAATGCCCATTTAGCTCTATACCTTTTGTACTTGTTGTGAAATAAAACTTGGTGGTTTTATTTCAATTTGACACGCATTAGAGTCACAAGAGAGGAAGGAAAATACCTCCATAAGATCCAGCTGTAAGGCGTTTTCTTAATTAGTGATCAGTGGGGGAGGGTCCAGAAAATTTTGAGTGGCACCATCACCGGGCTAGTGGTCCTGGCTTTATAAGAAGGCAGGCTGAGCAAGCCATGTGGAGCAAGCCAATAAGCAGCATTCCTCCATGGCCTCTGCATCAGCTCCTGTCCTGACTTCCTTCAGTGATGAACAGTGATGTGGAAGTGTAAGATGAATAAACCCTTTTCTCCTTGTGGTAATCTGAAAGAAAATGGACTCAATAGGAAGTGCCATTATTTGTTGGAGTGGGTATGGCCTAGTTGGAGGAAGTGTGTCACTGTGGGGGTGGATTTGGGGGTCTCCTATACTAAGCTAATACTAGGGACACAGTTCACTTCCTTTTGCCTGCAGACCAAGATGTAGAACTCTCAGCCCTTCCTGTTCCAGCATTCTCTGTCCTGGGGGGTGTTTACTTTTAGAGGAGCCTTTATATTCGTGGTGCCAAATGGTCTCACCTCATTTCATTCCATTTCAACATTTTTTCTATTTTATATCAAGCTTACTGAAGTATCAGTTATAAATTAAAAATTTGTTAGCATAGTTTTGACAGAAACATTGTATACCCATATCACAGTCTCCAGAATTCCACTGCTTCTCCCAAATCCCTCAAGCCCCTTAGATAACCACTCCTACTTCCTAGTCAATGTTTTCTATGATTTTTTTGTCTTCTTCATATGGGCTCATACTGGACGTATACTTTCCGGTCCTAAGTCTTTCACTGAGAATGGCACCTATTCATTTTGTGAAGTTTTGTTTCCAATTTGATTCCACTGAGCCTTTGTACCAACATCTGTGTATAGATTCACTAACTATAGGGTATTAGTGTTTCTAATTTTAGGTAGTTATGATTTATTTTTGTATATGTGTGTATCTGCTTGGGTTGATATCTAGTGGGATATCTGGGTCATAATGTAAGTGTATTATTTTGTAAGTAAATGGACTCTCAAGCCATTCTCCAAGTGTTTGCTCAATTTCTACTAAGTGTTTCAGCTTCTCTCACTTAACGTTTAGATGAAAAAATAATTAACCAGGTAGATGTTTACTGAGGGACATGTATGTGTGAGTGTATACACACATGTGCACGAACACATTTAGAGGCCACAGATCTACTTCTGGCCTCTCCCTGGATTGCTCTTCATGGATTGGTTAGGTTGGCGGGTCAATGAGCCCTAGGGATCTGCCTGTCTTTGATGCCAGCCCTGGGGTCACAGAAGCACACGACCAATAGAGTTGTCTATCTTCTAGTGCTAGACAGTCTTTTGCAGGGGTGCTCAAAATGTTTACATGGCAAGCAAACATCAAATGAACCATATCCACACCCCCTCGCTATCACTTTGGCTTCCATTTCCTTACCTATCACTACACCGTTCGCATTTTGCAGAAGGAAAGTTCTATGGAGCAATCAAATATTAGTATGTGGAGAAGATTAGCTGAGGATTACAGCTAAATTCAAAATGTTTATTTTGTGTTGTTTTGTTTTCAAAGCAGGGTTTCTTGTGTAACCCTGGCTGTCCTGGAACTGTTTCTACAGACCCGCCTGCCTCTGCCTCCCTAGTACCGGGATCAAGGTTTGTGCCACCACCGCCAGGCTCAAAATGTTTATTTTCTGTTAATTCGTGTACTGTGAAAGCACAAGTGTTGATGAAGAAGTTAATCACGCAACCTGGAAAGTCCTCTGTTCACAGAAGAGGGTAAGAGGTGAGTTGGAGCAATTGCTACAACTCTTGCATGTTGTGTGACTACACAGAGGAACCCAGCTGAGCCTGGGACATCTCAGTAGAGGCATTATCGCTAATGTTTCTTGCTTAAATCATGTGGTTACATGGTTAGTGCAACAGAGAAATGATTTTTGCCGCAAGGTTGTTCTACGTTGAAGCCTAATATGATCACCGTGTGCCCTTAGCTGAACACTGTGAAATGTGAGGGAGGACAGAGGAGCGACTTTCTAGAGGTGAAGGCCCCAGTCCCCCTGTGGTTGGTGCAGGGCAGAAAGAGAAAGAACACAAATCATGGTTCGAATGCTGTTTTACAGGATCGCAGCCCTTGTCAAGTTACAGCTTTTTGGCACATTCGGGACAATACACCTGCTCTTCGTGAAAGACGAAGCGCTTGTTGGCCAGATTTCCAGAGCACTTTTTGCAGTTGAAGCAGTAGTCATGCCAGCAATTTTCTTGGTAAGTTACCACATTAGAGCCTTTACCAAAGCCGGTGATGGGATTCTTGCATCCAGTACACTTCTTGGCCACAAAGTTCTTGTAGCACTCCACGCAATAATACTGGTCACCCACCGCGGTAAAGCGCTGCCCACCCAGCTCCTTCGAGCAGGAAACACACACAAAGCACTCAGTATGCCAGGGCTGATCCTGGTAACTGATTCCTCCTGACGTGATGGGTTTGTTGCATTTCACACAGTGCTTGGCAAACTTGGCATCATGGCAAGCAGCACAGTAGAACTCATCGTCTTTAGGGAAGAAACTTTGGGTCCCGATAATTCCCTTGCAGTTGCTGCAGGTGAAGCAGTTCTTATGCCAGACGGTGCCCTTGTACTCCACATTCTGGTCTCCTGCCACAATATGCTGTAGGCACCCTTTGCATTTGGGGGCGGTCTTCTGAGTGGCACAGAGGTTGCACAGGATCTTGTTGTCCCAGGCCACAAATGTCTCACTGGCCAAGTGCCGAAGGCACTTGTCACAACGGAAGCAGGTGTCGTGCCAGTAGCGGCTCTTATAATGTACCTCCTTGGAATCTGCGCCTATGAGCTTATGGCATTGCTCACAGACATTGGCACAGTGCTTTTCAAAACACTCCAGACAGCAGTTGAAGCTCTCCCTCTGCACATACTTCTGCCCCTGCAAGGGACTCTGGCAGTAGTGGCAGTTGAACTTCTCAGACATGGTGCCTTATAGCTGGGGGGACCTCACATTGGATGTGCAAAGAACAGGCTGTTTGGGATGGGCGGGGCACGGTTGAGAATGGCTGTCAGTTGCTGCCTGGGGATGCTTGCCCATGCAGCTGTGCAGGCTGTCTGCTGGGTGGCGGCTATGAAGCTAGAATTCTACAGTAGCTTAACAGGCTGTATGAAAGGAAGAGGGCGTGGGCTGTCTTCGAGGGCCACTCTTCTCAGCCCCACTAGTCACGTCTGTCTTCTACCTCACTGCATGTTGTCCACGCCATAGAAATAGTTGGTACAGATAAGACAGAAAAAATTGTCAGTGTATTTTAGCCAAAGATCAAGAATTACTGCAAGCTGAACAGGTTGCGGTTATCACTCATCAGAGGAAGGCAGAACACACATCCCAGTCAATCAGATGGCATCTCAGTAATAGGATATAAAGCAGGGCTCTTCAGATTTAGGGTCGAGTTAGATGTTTTGGAGGAGGGTTTAAGGAAATAGAACCTTCTTGCCTTTCTTTTGTGATGAGGCAGGAGTGATTGTATGGTTCGTTGTCTTCATAAATGTCACCTATAAAAAGGAAAGGCTAGAATGAGTAAAACTGTAACCAGTGAAGAAGCGAAAGCCACTTAGCCAGTTCACCTTCTCATTTTGTGTATTCTGCTTGGTGACCTGGACAGCATTGACCATTTTGTTCAGGTTCAAGTAATTAGAAAGTAGTTAGGTTTTTTTTTTTTTTTTTTTTTTTACCATTACCAATTGTGAAGTAGCCTTGCCTCACGCTGTTTTGCTTAACTAGAAAATACCAAGGTCTAGTTATGCCAGGCCAGCCCCTACCAAAATTACAGCCTTGTTGATAGCGCTGGGTCATTTGCTGGATTTCAGGGTCTGCTTTTCCCTCAGGATGCAGTGGTTAAATCGAATGTAGTGGCTTATACTTTAAGCCCAACACTTGGAAAGAACATAAGTTTCAGGTCAGCCTGTCACATAGAGAGATCTCATCTCTCAAACAAGAATATGACAGTTGGGGCTGGAGAGATGGATCAGTGGTTAAGAGCACTGGTTGTTTTTCCAGAGGACCTGAGTTCAATTCTTAGCAACCACATGGTGGCTCATAACCATCTATAATGAGATTTGGTGCCCTCTTCTGGCATGTAGGCATACATATAGGCAGAATATTGTATACATAATAAATAAATAAATCTTTAAAAAAAGAATATGACAGCTAACAACTTGGGTTGTGGTCACAACATTGGACTGTAAAATTTTATCTTCAACAGTTGTGAAGTAGACTAGATTAACAGATCTGCTTCAGCTCATACAATTATACAAGTGTTTGCCTCATCACGAGAGAAATGGGATGGCACAACCTAACAGCTCATGTCAAATCGTGGGTCAAGGAAGAAGAAAGAGCTGAGGTAAGTGTGCAGAGCCCAGTAAGAACACGAGAACAATAGCATTTATAATTTATGTTGGATGGCAACCTATTCAAAGCTGCTATCATTCATTTCAAAATAACAAAAGAATGTATTACATAGAGAACGTAAAAAAACAAATGTTGCTGCCGGGCTGTGGTGGTGCATGGCTTTAATTCCAGCACTCGGAAGGCAGAGGCAGGTGGTTCTCTGAGTTCAAGACCAGCCTGATCTACAAAGGAAGTTCCAGGACAGTCAGGGCTACACAGAGAAATCCTGTGGGGGGGGGGACATTTAGGTCAGCCTATAAAATAAATAGGGCCCGATTTCACTGGGGCTCCTTCTGGTTGCATCAAGGTATCTGAAATCAAGAGAGCATCAAGATAGAAGCAATCTCATCAAGATCTTCATATGTACGCTCATATAGACTGGAGTTGGTGAGAACTGAGTGGGATGCTATTCATTGTCATAGGTAAGGAGCCTGAGGCAATAGGAAATGACTGCAGTCAGAATACAGGACTACCTCGACTTACAGTTTGAGAAGGAGCCAAAGCGCCCCAGTATCTTCATTAGTTTATGAAATAGAGAGAACCACAGCTTTGAATTATGGCCTTTTTAAAAAAGATTTATTTATTTATTATGTATACAACATTCTGCCTCGATGTTGCCCGCACGCCAGAGGAGGGCGCCAGATCTCAGTACAGATGGTTGTGAGCCACCATGTGGTTGCTGGGAATTGAACTCAGGACCTCTGGAAGAGCAGCCAGTGCTCTTAACCTCTGAGCCATCTCTCCAGCCCCCGAATTATGGCCTTAATAACTAGCAAAATCGTTGTCAATTTTGGGAAGAAAGTTATAAAGTGCAATTTTGCACACGGTAATTTTGCCTAGATATCAATCTTGAAAGTCACCTATTAAAATCCTATAAAGAATTCAGGATTCTGTGGCAGTAAAACAACACCCCAGTTCAGACTCTCCTAGTCATCCTACTCAAATTAAAGTGATAAGATCAGTACACACAAGATTATCACGATTAGTTTCAGTACAGTGATCTAAATGGATTTAACTCGATGTATCTGATAACAATTAAGAAGTCATATTCTAGTCTATTCTATTTAAGAACTGGAGCAAAGCTAGCTCCCTCCCGGGATTTTTCTTTCTTCACAGTCCTTATTTTGAGACCTGTCAACACTATTCAGTTACACCTGGCTATTGTCCTTTAAAACCTGAGGTTCCCCATCCTGTGAATGTGTCCGCAAGGCTAATGAGGTTGTGAAAAGACAAACCTCACATTTGGGGAAGATTCCAGTTTATAAAGCCCCTTTACACCCACCATCTCTTCTTAGCCTCTCCAAAAGCTTAGGGTGCGTTTATCGTCATCTCTGCCTTAAAGGTGTTGAGAGCCAAAGAAAAACTAATAGCATTTTTTCTACTCAAGCTCCTTTGCTCCCCCAAACAGCCTCCCAGGCGGCTATTAAAAGGTCCCTCTGAAGCTCAGAAGAGTCCTGCCTCCACCCCAGGCTGAGGCAGGGCTGGACTTGCAGGACTCTTGGGTTCCCGGGTCCCCACCAGGCACTTTCTTCCCAAGGCAGGTATGAGCGTGGAGGGTCGGGGAGTCACAAGTGACCGAGGGCAGCCTTTTCTCACTCCCAGTCCACGTTTCACAACGAAGGACCAACCTTTTTCTCCGCCACCAAAACTCCAGACTCCCTGCAAGGCCTGGGCACGAAGCGCTGCGGGATGAGGGCAAACCTGGCGGAATTATTATTATTTTATAATCCCAAAGAATCCGGCTGTAGGACAGGCGGGCGGAGGGTGAAGCAAACAAAAAAGCCCCCAGCAACTAGCAAGGCCTCTCCCTCCCTATCCCTTGGCCACACAGGCACGCACGCAGGCTGCCCCCGAGGAGAACCGCTGACAGAAGGCTACAGAAGGATGGCTGGTGACACCGGCGACCACGCCGCCCTCCGCCGGGGAGCAGCTCCCCGTTCTCAGAACCGTTACTCCCCTCGCGCTCGCCCAGCGCTCGCCCAGGCGCCGCCGACCAGGGAGCAGCTGGCTGGCGGCCGGCTCGCCCCTCGCCCGCTCTGATTGGCCACCCGGGGCGGAGGGGGCGGGGAAGACCCCGGATGAGGCGCGCGCAGGCGAGCCGGGCCGGGGGCGGGGGGCGGAGAGGGGGCTGCGCGCGCCCTGCGACCGGTGGGCGCGGGAGGGAGCGGAGGGGAGGGGGGGGGGGAAGCGGGGGCGCGAGCGCGCGTGCGCGTAGGAATCCGAGGCGCGGGAGGAGGCGGGAGCTCGGAAAGGCTGCGGAGGGGGCGGGTCTCGCGTCAGGCGCCACGTCCGCAGCCGGAGGCCGCCGCCGCCGCCGCCTCGGACCGAGTCTTCCGAGTCCTGAGCCGGAGGAGAGCGAGCGGAGGAGAGCAAGCATCTGGATCGCGCAGCCGACCCCGATCGCGTCGCCGCCTCTGCAGTCCCCGGGGCCGCCGCTCCTCCCCTCCACCCGGCCGCTGCCCTCCCCGACCCCGACCCCGCGGTGAGTGAGTCGGTCCCACGTCCTGGGGGGGAGAGACGCGGGGTCTCCGGGGTCCTTTCCGTTAGCCCCTCTGCATCTCACCTGCGCGACCCGGGGGGGGGCCTGGCTACCCCACCCTGGCCTTTTGGGGGGCAATCGAGCTGGAAGGGGGAGGGGCGGGGCGGGGCGTCGTTGGATGGAGGTGGTGCGGTCGGGCCGCCCCCCCCCCCCTCCGGTTTGGTCCGTGAGTTCGCGGACCAACGCGGTGTTGGGAGATCAGGGTGATGGATGGGGGGAGGGGGGTGGCTCGCTCCTGGAAGCCCGGGTCTGAGCTGTGATCAGGCTGGCGTGGAGGTGGAGGAGGTGGGGAAGGTGGGTGCATCCGAGGAGGAGCCCGGCTTCCGCGCCCCACTTCACTCCTGACCTGTTGATAAATCATCCGGGTGGGTTCTCAAGTCCGGGGCTGGGCTCCAAGCGGAGATTCCCGCTGCTCTTCCTAAATTTGGGAGCTCCACTCCCACGCCTGTTCTAAACCCGCAGGCTTGGGAAAGAAGGGGCGCTGGCAGTGTCAAGGAACGACTGGGGAGTCCAGGAGCACCCCTCTCCGGGTAGTCACTGCCGACCCCAGGCTTAATCCAAAACCAGAGACAGCCGTGCACACGCAGCTTGTGCACTGGCCCCGGAGCTCCTACTCCGGATCAGATTGGATCGTCTCCCTTTAACACGTCTTACGTTGGAATTCTGCAGGAACTAGGGTGTGCTAGGTGGACAGCGGAGGAAGGAGGTGCCCAAGTCAGCACTAGCCTCTAGGGTCATTTTCTGCCTCTCCTGCCACGTCACTCCCTCTGCTGCTGATGAGAGAGAGAGAGAGAGAGAGAGAGAGAGAGAGAGAGAGAGAGAGAGAGAGAGAGAGAGAGAGAGAGAGAGAGAGAGAGAGAGAGAGAGAGAGAGAGAGAGNAAAGACTGCTTGTGCCTAAAGGCTAAAGGTGGATCAATGAGGGGGAGAAAGGGCTTCTGGGAAGTTAGAAACACCTAGTTTAGGAAGCGAATTCTTATTTGATTGTGTCTTTGTGAACGCTGCTAATCCAAAAGGAAACATTGTGTTTATTTGTGTCTGCTGTTGGTTAGTGTTTAAAACTTCTGCTTGCCTTCAAGGGCTATCACGCCAACAGGTAAGAGGATCTCCACACTCCTGCTTTAGCAACCGTTAATGAAGTCATAGAGATCTGCTTTCATTTTTCACTTTCAATTTTTTGGGCTTTGTTATACCGCTTATACCAGAAACCAAGTTCAATGAAAACATCCTTAGAAAAGCTTAAGTGATTTTTACATGAGGCAAGTATTTGATTTTTTTTTCTACCATGTCTTGGAAAATCTTAACTTTCCTGTTTCAATCCTTGAGTTTTTGCCCTTTTTCTACTTCCTGATGGTATTGCATCAGATTACATACAGTTAAGAGTAGGGTCTTTGTGTGTATGTTCATTCATTGTCTCCACAAGATCTCGCACGAAGTGGGGATGCCAGCATCTCTTGAGCCAATGAAGTGTATTTTAGTGAGGATGACTGTTGTACTGGTTTTCTGGCTTGGCAGAATATTTTAATCCTATTCCATGTTTCATTTAAGGACAACACTTAAACTTTTCTATTCTGAGACTGTTATTTGTCATTTTGTATGTGATTTTTAAACTTTCATTGATAAATTTTTCTACTTTCTTCCTCAGTGCCTTCTAGTATATCTGCTGTTAACTTAGTTGGCAGGAGCCACCTTTTATACAAGCAATGCTCAGGACTGTAAGCTACAGAAGATAAAGGCTGGTCTAGACCTCACTTTGCAGCTAGGCTGGTTTAGCTTAAGGCAATCTTTCTGTGCTTCACAAGAGCTGAGATTATGGGTGTGAGCCATCATGCCTAGCTTAGTCTCTTTCTTACATAGGAAGACTGTTACTTGGGTAGCAAATGTCTTGAAGTGACTCTGAAGGTCAAGTGTTGCACACTGTATTTTGTAGCTGAGTTTTATACTGTTAACTTATGTGACTTTAGAGGTTTATACCCAGAGGATTTTCAAAAAACGGTTTTATATAAAATGTTGTTGAAACCCACAAACAGCATTTCTTCATGAGTGATTTTATTTTTCATAAAGCACATACACACACAACAGAGGGAAAGGTTTCCAGCAGGTGTTTGGTTGTTTCTATTATTGGAATAAATTACTCTCTAGGGAATAGTGGTATTGATATTTACTCAATATATCTGCCAGCTGTTGTAGTATTTTGTACAATAAGAAATATCCCTTTCCCATTAAAGTCTCTATTGCTGAACTTACTGTCATGTTATACAGTCTTGTAGTAAAGAAGTCTTCTATAGTTGATATTATAATGGTTTGTCCATGTCAGGACCAAAAGATGGGACTGATTATGTTTCTAAAATAAATCATTTTCTTTGATCTAAAGACTGTTTCATTACTGCCCTCTTTAGGAAAGCTTTTTTATAACTAGACACTTGTATACATTATTAACTTGTATGCATCATGAGATCCTGAAATACAGATAATATAGTTTGTTTCTTAAGGAATGATCAAAGTGGTAATTGTTTGGAAAGTGTGTTCCTACTGAATTAAGTTCTGGGTTAGAGCAGTGCCTGTATGTGTCTAAATGCATCACAGGATGCAATGCTTAGGGTTCAAATGTATGTTACACCAATGACTCAATGAGTTTACAACAGAACGGCTTGTACAGAAATTAGTAATTTGGGGGGGGGACTGGAGAAATGGCTCAGTGGTTGAAAGAACTGGCTGCTTTTCCAGAGTACAGGGATTCAACTCCCAGCACCCACACGGGGGCTCACAATCAACTGTGATCCTGTTCAGGGGATCGGATGCCTTCTTCTGGTTGTAAGCTACATGGTGCACACACACACACACACACACAATTTACACAAGGCCAAACAAATAAAATAAATTCTCACTAAAGGGTAACTTTTATATATTTATTTCTTTTTGAGATATGATCTTGTTTCCAGCTTTAGTTGGTATGGAGATCACTGAGGACAGGCTGGCCTCAAACTCATGGCAGTCCTCCTGCTTCAGCTCCAGGGTGTTGGAACTATAGGGATGCTTGACACCTGGCTTCCTGCTTCAATCTTAGAACTTTAGGATTAATTTTTTTTTGTGTGTGTGTGTACAATGTAAAAACACCCAGGCCATTTGAAACTAATCTTTTATATTAATCTCTGTAATAATTAACACTTCCCTCTAGTATTCGATCCTGATAAATTGTTTTAATTTCTGCCTTATATTTTTAGAACTCTTATACATTCCTTTCTTGCCCTCTATGAAGCTACATTAACTGTTCACTGAATACTGACTGTTTATTTGAAGGTTTGTTTTGCTAAATTCTCTTCTTCAGCTGGCTCTTAAATGCACACAACCTAACGAAGGCTGTAAGTCCATTCTCACCACTCATTAGTGTGATCACATCACACATCCTGTATAGATTAAGTTAGTACTTAGAGCCATTGTCTAAACCTCACCTTGACTCAGACTGTCTCAGCTTCTGCCTAATGGAAGTCTTCTGTATATTCCCTGAAGGTATCTCGTTCAACTTCCTGTGTATGTTTTGATAAAAGGGCTTGTTCACAAACCCTTCGTTTTTTGATGAAATGGTTTCTTTTCTAATATATCCTGTCTTTGTTATCATTTCTGCATACTCAGTTGCCCATACTAGAAAGCGAACACCCTAGATCTTTCCCATAAGATTGTATTAATATCCAAGTTGACTTGATACAAAAATTCAAGTATTTGACTTTATGAATCTGAAGATAGGCCAGGTGATGGTGGTACATGCCTTTAATCCCAGCACTTGGGAGGCAAAAGGCAGGCAGATCTCCGTGAGTTCGAGGCCAGTCTGGTCTACAGTGAGCTCCAGGACAGCCTCCAAAGCTACACAGAGAAACCCTATCTTGAAAAACAAAAAGCCAGAGAGAGAGAGAGAGGAGGATCTGATGGTGAAATCGTAAACAAAACCCAAGCCGAGTGGTGGTCGCGCATTTGTCTTTAATCCCAGCACCCGGGAGGCAGTCACAGGCGGATCTCTGTGAGTTCAAGGCCAGCGAGCTAGTTCCAGGACAGGCTCCAAAACCACAGAGAAACCCTGTCTAGAAAAACTAGAAAAAACAAACAAACAAACAAACAAAACAAAACAAAAAAAAAACAAAACCCAAACCCTCGTCCTCAGAGTGTACATTTTAATAGGAATACACACACTTAGATATTCTAATAAAAGCTATGCAGAAATCAGACGAAAGTGAAAACAATAGGCAGAGTGGAGGAGTGATTGCCTAGAGAGCTTACAGGGAGGTATTTATACCAGGACCCCCTTAGTCTCCTAACCCTGACAGGATTTGATTTTTGATTTTTGTTTTCTTGATAGCCATTCTGACTGGGCTGAGAGGGGATCCAGTTCTGATTACATTTCCTTAATGGCTAAGGATGTTTTTAATGTGCACATTGAAAATTGGCTCGTTTACTTGCCTACTTACTGATTACATTGTTTGCTCTTTCAGTGTTTAATTTTATTTATATATCCTGGATATTAATCCTCTATTTGAAGTCTGACTGGCGAAGATCTTCTGTAGGCGGTCTGTTCACTCTGCTGGTGTTTCCTCAGATGCGTTAAAGATTTTAGCTAGTTGCTTTTTTTTTTTTTTTTTTAAGGGAGGAGGAGTTTGGTTTGGTTCAAGGGTTTGCAGGGTACATAGTATTCCATGGCAGGGTTAGTGGTGACTTGTGGCAGAGACTCCTCACCTCGTAATGGACAAGGAGTCTTAGCTAGGTTTTAAAAGCACAGATCTGGCATTGTTACTCTGCACTAGTTCCTCATTGTCTGTCCACAGTAGTAGGAAGGGGTCAGTTTACGTTTAATGTCCATGTCTGTAGGCTATTGTAAAGCAGCTATGATCTATGGGTGGTGGTGTTTTCTATTAGATGCAAGATACATACAGATGAAGTATGAAAAATAATTTTAAAAAAGTTCTGTAGTAGGAGGAAAGTGTAAAACCATTAGTAGTGATTTATGAGATAGGGACACTTTTGAAATGAATATAGTTGGAATCACATTCACATATATTTTTGAATTCCAATTAAAATACGTAGGCTGAACCTGGGGGTGGTGGCATATTCCTGTGATCCCAGCCTTGTAAGACTGAGGTGGGATTTAGCTCCATATCAGCTTGGGCTGCATAGAAGACGCTGCCTAAACAGAAAAAAAGAAGTAAGATGTATGTTTTCATGTCATTTCCAAATTACTATAGCTTCTATTGATCATGTTGGCCATCAGCCAGTTTATGGTGTGTTTCTATGTATAGGTATATAAATTTATGCATTATTTAGTGGGATATAATGAATAGTTTATACAGAAGTTTGTCTTCTCTTGAAATTAAGGAAGAATTGGCTATAATATAGTAATTTTTTCCACAAATGGAACATATATTTTTCCAGGATTTTCCGTATGTTTTACTTTACAGTTTGTTAAACAATATTCTCACTTTAGCATCAGGGCTGGGATTTTTTTTTTTTTCGAGACAGGGTTTCTCTGTGGTTTTGGAGCCTGTCCTGGAACTAGCTCTTGTAGACCAGGCTGGTCTCAAACTCACAGAGATCCGCCTGCCTCTGCCTCCCGAGTGCTGGGATTAAAGGTGTGCGCCACCACCGCCGGCTAGGGCTGGGATATCTTAATTTCTATTTGAAATCTTAGTTATTTTTCCTTTGCCATATATTTTATATCAGTTGGGATTCAAACTTAGGCTTTCTAATTATTGAACACTATGCTGAATAATTTGTTATGTTCTTACCATGATTATAGATAGAAATGAAAATAAATGTAGCTTTCTAGTTTGAGGGGGTTTTCTAATTAAGTTAGTCAAGAATTTCACCTTGGAGTAATGCACCAGATGATACACTTTGTTTATCTTTGTACAAGATTTCATAGCTTCATTATTACTTTCTTTAATCCTATGAAATGATCCTCAATTCACAAGTCAGACAGACTAGGTGCTGCTGTATCTGAGTTAGGACTCTAACCAGAGCAACTAGAAGGTATTTATCAATCACAGAGCAAATAGAAGTTATCTATCAATCCTGTGATCAGTGCTGTTGGATTTTAGGCCATTGAAGTCTGTTTTAGGATTTAGGTTATAAAGTCATAACAAGATATAATACATGAAATCAAAGTTATCTTTGAAAGTCTCTGTTTTTACAGTCTGCTCTACTACCATACCCAAGTTGACTGTGAGGCTGTAGACATAGGACGAATACTTAGACATAGGATGGATACGTGGTAGACAGTGAGGCTGTAGACATAGGACGGATACTTAGACATAGGATGGATACGTGGTTGACCGTGAGGCTGTAGACATAGGACGAATACTTAGACATAGGATGGATACGTGGTTGACCGTGAAGCTGTAGACATAGGACGGATACTTAGACATAGGATGGATACGTGGTAGACAGTGAGGCTGTAGACATAGGACGGATACTTAGACATAGGATGGATACGTGGTAGACAGTGAGGCTGTAGACATAGGACGAATACTTAGACATAGGATGGATACGTGGTTGACCGTGAAGCTGTAGACATAGGACGGATACTTAGACATAGGATGGATACGTGGTAGACAGTGAGGCTGTAGACATAGGACGGATACTTAGACATAGGATGGATACGTGGTAGACAGTGAGGCTGTAGACATAGGACGAATACTTAGACATAGGATGGATACGTGGTTGACCGTGAAGCTGTAGACATAGGACGGATACTTGGACATAGGATGGATACGTGGTAGACAGTGAGGCTGTAGACATAGGACGGATACTTAGACATAGGATGGATACGTGGTAGACAGTGAGGCTGTAGACATAGGACGAATACTTAGACATAGGATGGATACGTGGTTGACCGTGAAGCTGTAGACATAGGATGGATACGTGGTTGACCGTGAGGCTGTAGACATAGGACAGATACTTAGACATAGGATGGATCTTATTTTTTCATCCTTTTTGTTATTGTCCAGCTCTCTTCACTAGCAATTTCAGTTGAAGTTCCACAGTAGAAACAACAAAGGAATACTTGAACTGTCACTGCAGCTCTTCTTTAGTGCTGATGCTAAAGTTTCTAGTGTCCATTGATGTAATTTCAAGTCCTCTGTAAACTCTGCAGTTTGAAATAGGACATAATAGGATGTGGTAGGTATTTAAAAATGTTCTCTGTTTAAGTAAAATTGCTTAAATTGATTCGATGCAGCATGTGAGAAGTGGTAGTCTTACACTGAAATATGTTTTGTTTTATAGGTGATCATGAATCAGGCAGATAAAAATCAAGAAATTCCATCTTACCTTAGTGATGAGCCACCCGAAGGTAAGCTTGTACCCGAGAGTAAGAACGGAAGGAATGTCCTGGTAAATTAATGCTGTAGTGAGGAGGCCACTGTTGGTTCCCAGCTGCTCAGCCCCAAAATAACCACTCAGAAACTGTATTAATTAAATCACTGCTTTGCCTATTAGCTCTGACTTCTTATCAGCTAACTCTTACATCCTAATATAATCCATTTCTGTTAGTCTGTGTATCACCACAGGGTCGTGGCCTACCAGCACAGTTTTAGCTTGTCTGTCTCTGCAGCAGCTCCATGGCTTCTCCCTGACTCTGCCTCCTTTCTCCCAGCATTCAGTTTAGTTCTCCCCGCCTAGCTTTACTCTTTTGCCCTATCACAGGCCAAGACAGTTCTTTATTAACTAATGGTATTCACAGCATGAACAGAGTACCCACATCAAATTAAAGTTATGATTGTTTTTAAAAACTAAATATAAAGAATCATAACCTTTTTATCTGGTCAGTAAACATGCTCCAAAATAATTGAAATAAATACTTTTAGCCTTTAATAGGAAAGCACAGACCTTGGTGGATAGACACACCTTCCATTATTTAAGGTTTATTTTCTTGTTACACTTTTATCTTAAGACCATTTCACAAGTAAGAACATCTGTTTATTTACAAAGCTGTGTGAGGTTCAGGGTGGTCTGTTTATTTCTGATATCCTACATACAACTGCACATAATTTGAGACTTGAGATTTTAAAAATTCATATCATTCTTTGTTATATTTGATACCTTTCTATGTTCTTACATGACCTTGGACTCTGCTAATTTGTTTTTCTAAATAATAAATATTTTAGCTTGAAGATTGTGTGACACAAATCACTCTTAGCACTTGCTTCTGAAAGCTTTGGAGACATTGTCTCCTGTCCTTTGGTATCCTGACTCCTACAGAAAATGCCTGAGGTCACCGCTCACTCATGTTTTTTGGTATAGACTTTCTAAGCTTAACATAAACCACAACCTCCTTGGGGCAGCATGTGACCCTGGGCTAGATGGCCTAACTCTAGGTAGTTCATTTTCTTCCCAGAGTGTTAGGCACAAATCAAATTTCTGGGCCAATATTAAAACAAAACAAAACCTTCAAAATATAAAAATAACAGTAAAATTCTTATAGGTAAGCCTCAAAGAGGATGGATGTGCTTGTCTGCCTTGGTGACTGATTAATATAATTGCATAATTGTGAGGTAGAAGCCAGAGGATATCAAGCTCAAGGCTTGGCTACATAGTGAGACTCCCCCCCCCACACCTACAGAGGAACTATCTAATTGGTTTTAGTTTAGTGAAAACAATATCCTGAAAATTATTAGCTCAGTTTTGATTTTTTTAAAAGAACAATTTGTATAAGTTTAATATATACTCTGGGTATATGTAATTTACAAATATATATATATATTTTTAAAGATTTATTTATTTATTATGTATACAACATTCTGCCTCAACGTATGCCCGCACGCCAGAGCAGGGCACCAGATCTCAGTAGAGATGTTGTGAGCCATCTCTCCAGCCCCTTTGAATGGATTTCTTAATGAAAGCAAGTAATCAAATTGTCTGCTTCCCTGGAATGGTGAAGCTTCTCATCCCTCAATGTGGACTTGTAGTTAAAACAAAAACAATTTTTCCTGGCTAGGCATCAGGGTAGAAAACAAAATGTTCTCTTATTTTGAAGAGCCCAATCCAACCTCTGAATCATTTCCAAGTTACATTTTGAAAAGCTAATTTGTATTTCATTGGCAGACCCTAAGCTGTTTCTCTAGTCTGTAAAATACCTTGAGCCATACCCACCTCACAGAACAAAGCTGTTTGCCTCTCTCCTCCCCTCTTTTCTGTGAATGGAGTTCCAGTTACCTTCCTCATCCCAGGGTCTTACATACCTGGAGCACAACTGTTTAATTGTAGTGAAATTATCTCCCTCCCACACACACCCAAGGCATAAAAGATAAGATGTACTTTCAATTATATAAACACAGTCCAAAACTACCCTAGTAATNAGAATTGCGGTTTCTCTAAATTGTAAGAGTTAGTTAATAATAAGCCTGAGCTAATGGGGGCAAATAGGCCAAACAGTTTATATTAATATAAGCCTCTGTGTGTTTCTTTGGGACTGAATGACTGCGGGACTGGGTGGGACAGAAACTTCCATCTACAAGCCTAATCTACAGAGTTCCACAATAGCCAGGCATACATAGTGAGACCTTGTCTCAAAAAAAAAAAAGAAAAAGAAACAAAGCAGCTTTGTTCTTTTCTTTGGAGACAGGATCTTTCCTGACAAGTATGTGCCACTGTTCCCTTGTTCTCATCTCCAGGAAAGATTGTGTATTGTAATAAAGTTAATCGTACAGTTTTGAGACAGGGTCATCCTGTGTAGCCTAGGCGAACCTTACACTGAGGCCCTTGTGCTTTCTCAGAGTGCTAATTACAGGCATGTCTGATGACACCAAGCTCCTTGCTTGCTTTATTTTTCAGGATTTAATAAAATTTTATAACTAATCTATTCAGGTTCTTACCTATATCGTAAGTCCTTTATTTTTAGCCATTTAAAATTTTAAAGTGTATTATGCTTAGTAGTTTTACTATTTGTATTTTAAAAACAAGTTTAGCAATGGCTGTATCTTATCCTTGTGTAATATTTTGTTCATTTTTAAATACTCATCTTCCATATTTTACATCATTATCATGGCATGTCAAGCTTATTTCCCTTTCCCCATTTCTTACCTCCCTTTTCCTCTCTCGTGTCTGTTTTTCCGGTCACATGAGTTACTTAGCCTTCATGTCCCCTTTCCTCGGCATCTTTTTTTTCTTTAACCCTCTTGATTTCCTTTTTAGGTTTTTAGATTGTATCTGCATCTCCTCTCATTTGTATGTACTGTAAGCTGGGATCCAAATATGAAAGAGAAATGCAGTTACTTCTTTCTGAGTTTGAGTCATCTCACTTAATATAATACTTTCCAAATCTATTCATATCTCTGCACGTTTGTAATTTCATCTTTTTACAACTTAATATACGCACAACACTTTGAATATCATCTCTTGATGGGCATCCAGGCTGCTTCCATTTCATTGCTGTTGTAGATAGAAAAGCAGTGAATATGGATGTGAGTGGCTCTGTGTTAGGGCGCGCTGCCTGTGAGTCTGTGTGCCCAGGATGGCCTCTTTTAGCTTCTTGAGGGACCGCCATACTGATTTCCACAATGGCTGTACTGGTTGGCATTCCTTCAAGCAGTGAACAAAGGTTTCTCTCTCCTCACATCCACACTAGCATCAGCTATTAGTTTCTTATTTTTGTTTGCTTATTTCGAGACAGGGTCTCTCTTGTAGCCTTGGCTGGTTGTGAACTTGTATGCTGATGGGGGAAATCAGAACCAATTTTGTTTGCAAATGCCATAATGATACTTTGTATGTCCATGTGAAAAATAAGTACTTAGAAAAATAAAAATATGCAGGTATATATCAGCCTGCTTCTGCCTTCTGAGTGTTGGGATTAAAGGCATACACCACTGCATCGGCCTGATTAGTGGGGATGGTAGCCATTCTGACTTGGGTGAAATGGTATCTCACAGAAATTTTAATTTGCATTTTCCAGAGGGCCAAGGATATAAAATACTTTGATTGGCTCTTGCTTTTTGTGTGTATGATTTTTGTACTTTAAGAAAACAAAATCTGGATATTAGTTGTCTGTCTGATGTTCTCCTGTTCTGGAGGCTGTTGCTTTTCTGAGTATTTCTTGTGCTGTACAATAACCTTTTAATTTCATGTAGCCCCAACTGTTAATTCTGGCATTTATTTCCTGCCTAATGTACTAGTTAGAATAATCAGTAAGATTTTCCCAGTTAGAATGTAGAACAATAAAAAAGTCTAAAGATGAATTTATGCTTTGTGTCTTAGAAAAGCTCAATTTTAGAACTTTCAAATAAGAGATCTGTTACCTGAGTGATGGTGTTTGCGTATTTTGTAAACCTCTGCTGTCTGGAGTGAGAGAAGACAGGAGCACCGCATGGGTGCGGCTGCTCTTGCGCTCACTCCGCTGTGTGCATCATCGAGTTTCCGGACCTCTGAGTTGTCGCTGTGAGAAGGAAGTGAGAAGACAGTAACATCTCCATGTATCCCTTCCCCCCGTAGTCCTTAGAGATCCCCAGAGCATCTTGAGAAACACATTTGATAAAGATGATTATTTTAGTAATTATTGATTGAATCCTGCATAAGAAATTAAGGGATACATATGTTTATAATTTTATTTTTTTATACTTCCAAAGGTAAAATTTTAGTAACTGAACTGAAGCAGGTTAGTCTCTACAGTATGTCTTGTTGTAGACAAGACTTAGCCCTGGCTGCAATTGCTGTGTGATACTGTTCCAGGGTAGACACAGAGACATCTGCTCACTCCAGATAGGGAGCCACCAATAGACCAAAGTCCGCCTTGGTGAACCAGTGAGTATAACTGGAGTTACGTATAGGAGTAGGAACGGTTCAAAGGCAGCTGCACCACCAAAGTCCACTCCAGTGTGGGTGACAGCTCACAGCAGCTGGAAACATGGAGCACATCACACAGCCTGGAGGCAGCTCAGCAGGTTGGGGAATGCCCTGTCCAGTTTGCTCAGCTGGTCTGTGCATCTCCAAGCCCTCTTTACAGTTTACATATTCTCAGGAAGGGAGGGGCCTAGTGAATCTGGTCAATTTCAGGAACTTCCTGAAGCTATTTTGTTTGCTTTTGAGCTTAAGGAGCTTCTATGTAGAATGGAATATTTCATCTCCTTTTTAATAAAATAATCTGTGTCTTAACCAGCTTCCTTCCAAAATAGAAGATTTTCATCTTGAGGAAATTGCTACAGAACACTAAGTGTGCTAGTCCATGCCTGTAATCTCAGCATTTGTGAGGCAGAGGAAAGTGTGGGTTACATTAACAAGACCTTGCTTCAGAAGACTTAGCTCTGAACCAAGGAGTAATATAAAATTTGTGCAGCTATACTTAGGCAAGAGCTCCTTACTGCTCGCTCGGTAAAGGGGCTTGTCAGATGGAGCTCCTGGTCGTGAGGAAGGCGTTTGCACTGCCTCGTGTTTGACTGTCGTCTGCTTTCTCTCACCAGGGTCAATGAAGGATCACCCACAGCAGCAGCCGGGCATGTTGTCTCGTGTGACTGGAGGGATCTTCAGTGTTACAAAGGGAGCTGTTGGCGCCACCATTGGTGGTGTGGCTTGGATTGGTGGAAAGAGTCTGGAGGTGACCAAAACAGCTGTTACAACTGTGCCTTCCATGGGAATAGGGTTGGTGAAAGGCGGCGTGTCCGCTGTGGCTGGAGGTGTGACGGCTGTGGGGTCGGCTGTTGTAAACAAAGTGCCCTTATCAGGAAAGAAGAAAGACAAGTCTGACTAAGGGACAGGAGTGCGCTTGTGCGCTGGCACATGTGCGCCACAGAATAGGATGCCAGTGGCGTTGAACTGATCAACACAGACTACAGCCAAGCCCACTACTAAACTGCTGTGCTCAAAGTATTGACGGCTGGCTTCTCTAAAACAAGACAAGACCAATACTCTCTCAGTGTGTGGAGGCTTTTCACACTTACGTCCAGCTTTTTATCTGGTAAAATGTTACACTTGCTCGGTTGTAACTGAAGATACGGTATGTTTAAATATTTGCTCTGAGTCTTTCAGTTTGACTAAACATGTGAAAGGTCACCCTAGTAGATGACTACAGCTCCACGTGTGCAGTGTGCCAGGTCACTCGTGTGCCCCTTACAAGGCACTCTTGAACCACATAAACTGTACCTTTGATGTGCCTAATAGTTTCAGATGTCTTAGTTTTTTATAACAATAGTGGTTTAGACCAAGAGGCGTTCTTATTTAAGCTGGCAGAAAAGTCGCAGGAATTCAGAAGTTTAGAAGATAAATGGTTTTATGATACTGTTAATTGTTTTTTGTTAGATAAACCTTTTATTTGTTTAATCATTGATGCCTTACAAAAGAAAACATCTTTTCTAATACCATAAATATGCGCAGTTCTTATAATTATCAGTGAATTCCTTTAAAGGTTGTAAAACTAGTTTTCCCTCTTAAGAATCTCAGGAGTATTGGGTGAAGGCGTCCCCTGTGCTGGTGAGAAGGACAGTGCATGTTTGCTGTCAGGAGTTAACATCAGACATAGGCTTCAGCTGGGCTCGTAGTCCTATCGTTAATACACCCCACAGTGCCTAGGGAATATTTCTTAGCTGATGAGAAGCTGTGTGGGAAGAGTTTTATATTAAGAAGGAACAAGTATTAGTTTTTAAGTTCTTATAATTATCTGAAGCATCTAAGATAATCCTCCATGCATCTCTGTCTTCAGGATGTCTTAAATTAGCATAGCAGCTCCTTTAAAAATACTCTCCAAATGAGTGAGATGGGCTGCACACATTGGCTCTCAGGCTTGTGTGTTCATCTGTCTTCTGAGATGGTGTCTCCTGCAGCCTAGGCTGGTCTGGAACTGGATACACAGCGGAGGGAAACCTGGAGCTCCTCATCCTTTTGCTTCACTTCCCAAGTGCTGGGTCTATGTGATGCTGGGGATGGAGCCCAGGGCTGCACCAGCTGAGCTGCACGCGCAACAGAATTCACTTGTGCTTTAACGCATGTTCTTCTGCAGCCCTTTAAAGCGGATGTAGACACTGTTTTCAAGCCCGTGTGTCAGGTAGGGAGTTGACTTTCTTTGGCACGGTGGTGAGTGTGTTCTGTCTGAATGTTCATCATAGCTCATTTATTCTCTCAGAACCAAACTCAAAAGTCCATTTGTTTTGTTTAGTGTTCAGTTTCATGAAAACTTTAGTAAGTGAAATATGTATTTGGCATTTATCTTATAAGCTAAGCCTGGGGAAAACCCTTAATTTTCTTTATACCTAAAACTAGAAATCTGTCTCCATTTTGTCCTTTCTGATTCCCTGGAGAGAAGAGGGGAGTGGTGCCTTGACATAAATAAGTCAAAGTATAGTGGTCTGAGAACGTGAGATCACCCTCACATGCAGGCTTCAATGTTTGTGACTCGTCGGCCAACAACTGGATAAAAGTAGAAAATTTAAAAGCATTCATAAATAACAGCAGGAATTTCAAGCAAATCTATAAATGTTCTTGGACCTTTATGCTTAAACAGAACTGAAAATCATCAAGGAATTAAATTCAGAAGGATTAAATGGCCATTATCTCATGCAGTGTACTGTAAGAGGCATTTGTTGGTACATCTGGTGAAATGTCTTAACAAATGATAGTTTTTTTTAATTCCAAAATTAATAGACCCATTCTCAGTGATCTAAATACTGGTGTTGGAGAACTCGATTCCTGCCATTTAGAAATTACTGCTGGTTTGTATTTCTAACTTCAAGACTGGTTTATGTGAGCTTGCATATTTATTTTCAACTTTGCTTGTCTTTAAAATCACTTGAGGAAGATGGCTGTGATTAATTTCTGCTACAGACAAGCCACCCGGTAGATTTTCTCCATACTCCTAAATGCTAAGGTGCAGTGTTGCTCAGAGGGGCTTCGACAGCAGTAGTAGAACTGCGCAGATGTGCAGTTATATCGTTCCGTTGAGATGAGCTTGCATTTGCATTTGATGGTGTGTACAGCTGCACACGTAGGTCTCTTCCGGTTTATTTACATAGACGAGCAGTGTGATCTGTTAAACAGGACTCGCTCACTTCCGAAACTATGGTAGTTGTATACATCTGGAAGCATCTGGTATTTAGCTCCTTTTTTTTTTTTTTTAGTCGGTTTTGGCACAGTGGAGATAAATTTGTGTGATCCACTTGAATAAATGACCTAATGTTGACATATGAATACTGTATTTAGTGACATGTCAGATGAAAGTAGCTGACTGAATAATGCGGGTTGTTCCTTTTTGTATTAAAGGGATGGGAAAGGACACATGAATCTGATAATAAAGGACTATGATCTGCAAAGATGGAATGTTTCATAAAGATCTATAGAAATAAAGGCAATTCGTAAACAGGATCTTAAAACTTTGGGTTACATAGCAGTCAGGTGTTTGGTGGAGCTGACAGACGTGATAACTGGATGTAGACAGAACAGTGAAATACAAGCACAACTGCAGACCTAAGACTGAGAGTCCAGATGTCCAGGTTTTGTCAGTCTCCAGGGTGGGCCAGGCTGTGTTCAGGCACACTGAAGTGTGAACGCTGAGTTACACCTAGGGAACACGTCTAGTGTACATTGTAGGGGTTCCATGCCCACCTCTCCAGGGCTGGGGTTAAAAGTGTTACCATAATTGGCATTTTTTTTATGTGAGTTCTAGGAATCAAACCTAACTTAGATTCTCATGTCCCAAACGCTCTGTTGACTGACGTGTGTCCTGAACCCTCCTCTCCCTCACACAGCCCACTCTACTCCACACAGCCCACCCCACGCAGCCCACTCTACTCCACACAGCCCACCCCACGCAGCTGCCTCACTTCCCTACTCCTCCAGTCACCCCCTGATGCAGTCAACCAGTGACTGCCCCCCTCCAGATTGATTACTCACTGCTCTGCGTTGTGGCTTCAGACGCTACAGTAATGCAGACGGCGCTGCTCACTTTATCTCCTCTGCTGGCTCCTTGCTGCTCCGCACTTGGTCATTTGCCTGTTACCAACCACCTCACAGTTGGCAGGTAACTGTAGAAGGCCACAGAGCCTGTAACGTATTCCAGACCTGCTCTGAGAGAGCGGTGAGTGCATGCATTACTGCTCACGGCCAGGATGGAGCTCTGGAGGTCCCCACACTTGTGATTGAATCTGAGGTGAAGTGTGCACTCTGCCACTAAGCTGCCTCTGGCCTTAACATTTTTCTTGACAGTCCTGAGCGCTATGGGTAATGCCTTACACTGAGCCTCACTGTAAACAGTGAGTGTTCTTAACTTCCTGAGCACTTGTGGCTACTCAGGATCCCAGCTAAGCAGCTGAGCAGATTTGGATAGTGAGATACTTGCATTTGCTAAGAGAATGAAACGGGTACTGGCTGCATTCTCAGTATGTTTCAGAAGCTGTGCACATTCCACAGTCAGCTGGCCGTGTGCTATCGCCAGTGAGTGTTACAGTTGTTACGAGCAGTACAGCTGAAAGTGAGCCAGTCTTTATCTGGGTCATGTTTATCTTGGGACAGGATTTAGAAACGAAGTGGAACACTACAGCTGGAAGTGGTACCACATGAGGGAGATTTTCATGCTTTCTAGGGAGCCGCATTCATTTCAGATGCGAATGAAGTTTGAAATGACCGTTTCCACACCCCTCCCCACAGTCTGATTGCATTCCTTCCTGATTGCATTACTGTGCAGGGAAAGGTGGCCATCTTTCCTATTCCTGAGGCTGGACAGAATTCAGATCTTAATACATCTGGACTCTTTGTTAGGTTCCTAACGGATGTGTGTGTTCGTAGAAGTAGGTGCTTGACTACATCCCTTTGGATGAGCAACACCTGTAGAGACACTCCTTCACACACAGGTGAGGCTGGTTCTCTCTGAAGGCCTGTGTCGTTGGCCTGCTGGTGCCTCAGGGCTGGTGGTGAGGAATTCCACTTTGCCAGCAGCTCTGGGACCAACAGTGTGCATGGACTCCCAACAAGAGTGTGTCCTCGTCAGTTCCTTCCGAACAGTCCATATGAACTATCAAGCTATGTGATGCTTTGGAGAAATAGGTCAAGTCAATGATTTTATTCAAACACAATTTATATTTATTTTATATTTTAAAATGCAGCAATTGAGTCAGAGGCCATCAGTTGTGAGGTAATTTGAACACAACTTAAATCTCAGTAGGTCCTGAGACTCCCTAGTACTCACAAGCTGACTCGCTTGTTTGTGAATCGGTCACTTTCCCTGCCAGAAAGAAGCTCGCCGTCACTCATCCACATCTAATGGTGCCACAGGGTTAAATAGCGGCCTTCCTTGCTTGGCTTGCATTTTGCTAAAGTTAGCTTCAAACTCTTTTTTTGTTCCGTTTAGACTTGTTAGATGGCCATCCTTTATTCTGTAGCCCAAGGAGTTCAGCTTTCTTATCCTGTATTGAACTATCTGTGGCGTTAACTCAAGGACCATTGGGGACTCTCTTATCTGAGCCATGGAGATTCCTTCCTTCAGAAGGGCCTGGATTCTCTCTTCTAGAACTGGGGCAGGGTAACACAGCAGCAAAGGACAGTCCACAACTAACTGCCGCAGCTCACAGTCTGTGCACTCAAAAGTCGTCTTAGCGAAGGAAATACTGTTCTGGATGCTTCCTGGCTGCAGTTGAAAAAGAAACCCTTTCAGTCTGGACAGCAGCTGAAGAACTTGAGAGTCTGTGAAACCTTGCCCTTGAAGAAATTTTAGTATTTGGTCTACAGCCGTGGGAGAACTCAACACAATGAATGGATTTTGGCTTAGTAACTTCAGCAGCCACACTTTGGCATTGGCCGGAGAGCCGCCCAACTTGAGGTAGCTCTCCTGGAGAAACCCTATCATCCGCTTGTTGTTCGCTACAGGATTACGGAAGATGCCAGGGGCAGCTGTCAGAAACCTGCTAATCACCACATTCTTGAGCCCCAGCTCTTGAAAGAACTGAACATTGAGCTTCTGGTTCTCCTGGTCCTTGACAGTAAAGAAAGGCTCTGGGAACTGCTCTATTAACCGGATTAGCTCTGCTTCGCTTTTGCAGACCATCTGCCAGAGTTCCCTTTTGGCCTTAACCGCAGCAGGGCTGCAGACGATCGCTTCTGGACAGCGTTCCAAGATGCTGGCTACCACAGTCTTGCTGGCACCTAGTTCTTTCAGAATGTCCGCAATCTCTTCAACGTGGGTGTCAGCCTCTAGAAGCACCCATGGTTTCAGTCTGCGGATCTTCCTGATGTCCACGGAGCACGCGTGGAGCCCAGCCACTGTTCTCGTGTTCTCTTTGTTTGACCGGCTGTCAGTTTCATAGGTGACACACGCCAAAGGTCTGATTTTGAGAGCTGGTGGCGGTGTTCTGTAAAGACGCAGCCTGCAGAGCTGGGGTCCCGTCAGCACCTTCCACCATGTCCTCCACAACATGCTGTAAGCCCTGGCTCGTTCCCGCATCCTAAACTGAGAATGTCCACATTGAGTCTGCAAGGAAGATGAAGGCTTTAAAGGAACACTGACTTTTAGGACAGATACTCAGAAACCTACGTTCCGAGCAGTAACTGGAAATGAAAGATTTAAGATAGCAGGGGAAACCACCCCATTCCAAGCCATCTCCTAATTGAAGGCATCCTGCCCTCTATGAATAAACTTCGTCTGCCTGAGCCCTGCATCCATCCTGTGAAGGAGGGGCTCCATTTACAGGTTGGAAAGCATGGGGTTCAAGGGCCTCAACTGATCGGACACAAATCCCCTTCCTACTAGAGTTGTATTTCTTTATAGGTGGCATATTACTGTAGTGGCATTTCCATTGTATTTTAATAAAGCTCGCCTGGGGATCGGGAAAGTAAAACAGCCCCACTGGTCAGCCTTACAGACCAGGCAGTGGTGACACACACCTTTAATACCAGTAGTCACACTAGTTGCCATGGAAACCAGGCAGTGCATGCCTTTAACCCCAGGCCTAGAGAGGATTATAAAACAGGAGGACACAGTTCTCAGATACAGTCTCCTGCTAAGATTCCTGGAGGCAGGATCGCCATTTCAGACTGAGGTCGTGGTAAGAGCCAGTGGCTGACTGTTTTGCTTTGCGGATCTTCAGGTTGAACCCCAATTTCTCTATTTGAGTTTTTATTAATTGTTCATCATATTACACAGGTAATTGTCTTTTCATGTTGATGTTTAGCTCGAGTAGACACTTAGGAAGGGAAGATGTCATCTTTCATTGTATTTTAAAGTATTTTTGCTGATGAGCTGACCTTGCTTGTTTTATTTGAAATGAGTTCATAAATGCGTATTTGTTTTTATTAGAACCATGTAAATGCAACTTTTTAAAAAAAATAAATTCAGGATTAAAGTCGATCTTAGCCAAGCTAAGCGAGATGTGCTCTGTGATAGCCTTAGAGACCCCTGGAAATCAGGTCAGCTGTAATGGTGACCCTCTCACCTTGTGCTACACCAGCCATGCCGAACCTGGCTCTGACTGACTGAGTAAGGCTGGGTGAGTTAGCTGAATCCAACTGAACACAGTGGTGATCTGAGCAGGACCTCACATCTACCCAAGTAGCCCTTGCCTTCTTCACCTATTAGAAGACGCTACACCATCTGAAGCACTGCTGCCCCTGCCCATGTAGGGGTGCAGTGTTCCACTTCCATCCTAGAGTCCTAGCTGGGCCCATGCGATAAAGGGACATAAATGGTCAACAGGAGAGCATGTCAGTTTATTTCCTACGCGTTGGACATGTCTTGGAAGCCCATACACAGACAGGACCCAGAGCAGGACAGGCTACATGGAAGGGGACAGACAGCGAGATGTCTAAGAAGGGTTACTCCTCGGTACAGCAGGGTTCGTGGGGAGTCAGCCTGCCACAGAGTGCTGTTTCCTTACTGCAGCTCCTTGTGTTTGCAGACTTGAAAGGGTAAGTGCAAAGACGGCCATTTCCAGTCCTAGCGACCACCAGTGTTCCTGCCGTGCAGGCTGCTGACGGCAGACCTGTACTAGCCAAATGCTTACTCTGTGCGGAATGCTGGTTTTAGTGGAGGCTCACACGTGGACAGCTTGTCTTACTCTGTGTGGAACGCTGGTTGGTAGTGGAGGCTCACACATAGACGGCTTGTTTTACTCACAGTTTAGCTTTGTTCACATTGTTCCCAATGCTAAAGATAGTTTCTGTGAGAGCTGTCAGTTTTAGCGGGAAAGAGCTGGTGAGTATGCTGGAGCTCAGGCAGATGGAGCCCAGGCGGATGCGGGTTCTCACCATTGCTACTCTGCAGGTTCTGGCCTCTTGTCCGGACCTCATGCTGGGCTGGGGTGAAGGCTCTGTGGCTGAACTGCCTGTGCCAACCCTGGATTGAACTTATGGAGTGATCATGAAGTTTGTTAGCTTCAGACTAAACAGTAATTCAAAAAATACATCATAGGAAACGTGCTGGTGAGCATTAGAAACAGGACGGCACCCACACCTTACAGGGCAGTATCGGAGTGAAACACGTTTCAAGTCCCCTGAGTAGGTATCTAATAAGTGGTAGTTATCACTGGGAACTACGGGAAACCAAAGTCTTGTAGTGATACAACTTTAAACTGAATTTCGGGGTGAATTTGGGAGGGGGTGGGTCTGGAACATGAATTAGGGTAAGGAGTCAGGGGTGAGTATGACCAAAATACACTGTATGCCTGTATAAAATTCTCAAAGAATAAAACTATACTTTAAAAAGGCTTTGAAGAGATTGTTTGTCTTCTCATTGTGAGACATAACATACGGCATCTGTGATGAGCAGGCCATTCTCGGACAGAGCCTGCAGGCACCTTGGTTTCAGCCCCCCAGCCTCCAGAACTGAGGAATCATAAGCCGCTATCATGAGTAGCCCATCTAAGCTGCTCTCCTGTAAGAGCCCACATGCATTAAAGCAAAATACTTTCTTCTGCTAAACAAACCCCAGATCCCAAGTTTAAGACAGAAAGTCAGTTTACAAAGGGTAAATGAAATGTTTAAATATGTCAGCTTTCCAAAATAACTCCATAAAACTAATACACCCTCTGCAGAGCTGCTGGATTCTGAGGAACAAACACAGGTAAAAAACAACCCTGCCATTTATAGATAACTTAATGCTTCGTTATTTTTGAGGTGGGGTCTTGCTATATGGCTCTGGATGTGTAGCCCAGGCTAGCCTCAAACTATGGCAGTCACGCCTCAGCCTCTTGAGTTGGAATTGCAGGCATGTGCTTGATGGCAGCAGCTCATAGCTTACTGTTTTCTTCTGCTTCTCATTGCCTTGTCACAACCTTTGAATTACATCTGAATTCTGTCTACAACTCTGACAAAGTCCCAGAGAGCCAAGGGTCCCATGAGTGTAGCTAGGACACCGGATAAAATAGCTAGCTTGGTGTGAGGGTCTCATCCTGCAAAACCAAAGAACACTGCAGCCTCATTTCCATGTCAAGCCACTCCCACTGACAGAGGCGCCCATCAAATGAGGAAAGGGAAAGGGAGGCTGGAGGTAGTCGTCTGGACGGTCAGGCTACCTCTTGCTGGAGGTAGTCGTCTGGACGGTCAGGCTACCTCTTGCCCTTCTGCTGGGCAAACACGGTCAGCAGTAAAAACGAAAACCTGAGTAGTAAATACAACTTGTAAAGCCTAGCCGTGGCACTAAAATGGCGGACAAGCAGTTAGAATGAACGGAGCTCGGCACAGGTGTGCCAACTACAGCTCACCTATTGCCGGGCAGCCACCTGGATTTCATGTTTGCCCCTTAAAGTGGGTTTCTAGAATCCCAGGGAGGAGCGGAGAGCCGTGCACGAGGTTGCTAAGCTTGGATGGCATCCTACGGAACACAAGCATATAAGCAATTCCTGGCTCTGAAATGTGGACTGTAACTCACCAGTGAAGTGTTTGGTCACAAGGCTGACCTTTGACTAATTAATATACTACTTTTGGCCTGATTTTCTCTGTGCCTTTTTATCCTTGGTACATCATAAAAACTAACATGCAAAAACTCTCCATAAGGGGAACAGCATCTTTTTTCTAGAATTGCATTCTCTGATTCATTGTTAGTTGTTCCTGTCTTTTAGCATTTCAAAGTAACCACCTTTTGGAGAGACAGACAGACAGAGACAGAGGCTCCCACACGCTGATGTTAAAGGCACGAGTTAGAGCTCTCACTTTTAACAAGTTGTAAGATGCTAATAAAGGCATGGCAGTATTTCAGTGGACAGGGTCCTTTGACAATGCTGTACAACTATAAACCTCTGTATCTAAGACTTACATTGTCAAACACAAGTGCTGTACCCATGAAACAATAACCCTCCATCCCTGACCTCACATCTGGAAATCTCTACTCCACCTCCTTTCATCCCCATTCCTGTTCCAGTTGGTTAATAAATGAAGTCACATCACACATCTTTTTAAATGTCTGGCTTATTTCATTCATTTAGTATCATGTTTTCAAAGTCCGTTCATGTTGCACCAAGTGTCAAAACAAGGCAGATTCTTTGTGCGACTGTGTGTGAGAGAGTGAGCACCCACACAGAGGTCAGAGGACAACCTCCAATGTTTCCACCTCATTTGGAGCAAGGTCTTCCCATAATTTACGATGCCTCCTTCAGCATCCATCCCCAAGAGCCTTGTTAGCAGGCCTTCCCCACCCTAACTTGGCCAAGCTGCTCCGCTCCTGGCCCGTGCTGCACACTCGCCTTCTTCTGTTAGGCCATCTTAATCCATGGTAACACCCTTTTCTGCACTGTCCACTGACAACCTGAATCCTCTCAGATCAGTAGCCTGCTGCTGCCCTGCCCAGCCCTCCCTTCCCTCTCTGCCTTGTTCCTGCCTCACCGAGTACACCAGACCTCCCCTTAAACTTTTTGGTTTTCTAGTAGGTATAAACGCTATGTTTACAACACTCTACACTCTGTTGACTGTGTGTAGCATTATGTATACAAAATACCTTAATTTTAAAAAATACTCCATTGCTTAAAATGTTAATGACCATCTGAGCCTTTATTGGTTGTGGTCTTGCTGGCGGATGGCTTTGTTGTCCCTGAAACTGATGGCTGTGGAGTGATTAACGCTGAATGCTGGAGGCTGGGATGACTTGAAAATAGACTTTTAAAAAATTCTTTCTGTTATTATTATTGAATGTGTGTGGAGGCACCTGATGTGGTCCGAGGACAACTCAGTGGGGTTGGCTCTCTATTTCCACCTTTACATGTTCTGGGATTATCTCAGGCTGTTAGGTTGACTCACAAGTACCTTCATTTACTTAGCCAGCCCCTGCCAAGTTCTCAGAATAAGACAATGCAGTCCGCTTCTTCAATTGACCTTTTCCCAAAAGACGTCTTTGTAGCATTCAATGCTGTTTGATAGTATTTTCCTCAAGTAGAAGTGCTTCAAATCCAGAGCCAGGCCTCTCAGACAGAATGAGTGCTTTATCCACTAAGTCTATGCGACTCCAAGTCCCTTGCTGCCTGTCATCTTTACCAGGAATGGGTTCCGCCTCAAGTAGCCGCTTCCTGTCATTCATAAAAAGCAACTCCACATCTGCTAGAGCTTTGTGTGCGCTTGAGCGATGCAGTCGCATCTTTGGCTCCGTGTCCAACTCTGCTTCCACCACATCCTCATTTTCTTCCTTCACAAGCCTCCAGCCCATCAAAGGGCTGACTGCTTCCTCTAACTCCAACAATGCCGACACCTTGGCTCCCCCCAACTGGAGTAGGGGATCCTTGCCAGAAGATTTTCTGATGAACTCTACCCATATCCCACGACTTTGCACCTCAACAAAACACTAAAGAAAGACCAACGAGATAGCTCTGCAGGGAAAGGCGTGAAGCGTGGCAATTACAAACTCAGAGACAGGTACTGGGGTTTAACCTGAAGACCAGAAAAGTAAAGCAGCCCATCACTGGCTCTTACGTTGACCTCAGTCTGAAAGGAATCTCAGAATGAGACTGTGTCTGAGAGCTGTCTCCTCCCATCTTATATTCCTTTCTGGTTCTGGGATTAAGGGGGTGCACCCCTACAGTCTGGTTTCTATGGCAAGTTAGTGCGGCTACTGGGATTAAAGACGTGTGTCATTGCTGCCTGGTCTGTAAGGCTGGTCAGTGTGGCTGTTTTACTTTTCTGATCCTCAGGCAAGCTTTACTTACTAAAATACAAATGAAATGCCACTACCAAGGTGCTTGTCACCAAGGCTGCTGATCTGACTTTAAACTAAGAGGCGAACACGGTGGGGAGAACTGAGCTCCGACCTCCACACATGCACCTTGGCGCACCCCTCCCCACAGCCCCTAAATACTTTTTTTCAGCTAATTAAAAAAAAAGGCCAACACATTATCTACAAAGAGCAATAAAGGCTATAACATCCAAATGTGGTCACTCACATTTACCCCTTCAGCTGCACCCTCTCCTTCTCCACCTCTCCTTTCTGCAGTTCGGACATTCACTGCTACTGCCCCTCCTCCCACGGTCCCCTTGGTCCCATCCTCTTGGCTGATTCTTGCAGATCCTTCCTGTTCTGCTTATGGCTCTCACTAAAGGCAGCTGCCTTGCAACCAAAGCTGCTGAGTAGTTCCACGTCCTATTTCTCTTGGCTTTTGTAGCTTTCGGCATTATTCGACCACTTGTTTTTAAAAATGTTCTGTTTGACTTCCAAGCTACCTCTCCGTGTTCTTAGGGCTCCTCCCCCTGTCCCTCCACAGCCTCATCTTTAGGTTTGGTAGTCTGAAATTCCAGCCTAGGAAGGCTGAGGCATGAGTTCTAGGCTAGCCTGCTCTAGGTTAGCCTAGGCTGCAAAGTAACAACTTGTCTCAAAAAACCAAATTATATTACAATTAAGGAAACACAGACCACGAATTTGAGAGAGTAATGTGTATGTGTACTTGACAAAGGGTTGGGGGAAGAAAAAGGAAAGGGGAAATGATATAATTATACTTTAATTAAAAATACCTTAAAAAACGGGTAGGTTTTTCCAGTGGCGGTGGGTGTGTGTGTGGGGGGGGGAAGAAACCAAATAAGCAAGCATCCTTTCTTTCTTACCTTACAGTCCCCAAAGACCCTGTCCCTGCCTAGAGCCTCAGTTACTTCAGCTGGAGCTTCCCCGAAGCTTATCAGATGTGACCCTGTCACCCCCCCCCCCACACACACACACACATACAACAGACTGTTCAGTGGCACTTTAGGACAGACACACAGCCATTTGTAGAAAAGACTCTCCGGGCTTTGGTGTCACCTGAATCCCCACCTCCCACTCTCACAAACCACAGTCACTTTCTGTCCCTGAGGCACTAACTGTTCCCACCCCGGCCTTCAAAGGCTCGCAGAACTGAGTGTCACTTTCTTAAGGAAACGTCTCCCTCTGACCTTTTAGGTGAAACCACTTTTATGCCACCAGGGACTGCAACTCTCCCTAGGACGGCTGAGGCGATCCATGTTTCTGTGTCGGTATCCCAGAAGAGAAGACCCTTCACATCACCGTGCTCCAATGGGCTACATCTCCGCCCCTTAGCAGACTGCCAACACTGACTT